GAATGCTGAAAACTCATTGTTAGTCAATAGTGATAGTCAAGTAGCGATAGCATACACCAAGGATCCGAAATATCATGGCAAGACCAAACATATAGATACCAAGTATAACTTTGTCAAGGATATGGTTGCACGAAAAGATGTGAACTTGCAGTACATATCTACGCAAAAAATGATAGCTGATCCTCTGACGAAGCCAATTCCAGGAGATGTTTTCTATGGTCATGTAAAATCTCTGGGACTGCGTAGAAAGTGATGTACTGAATATTGTATTTTTCCCTGAGTGTTCACATTTAATGAAGTTGCTCTCTCATTATTAATGCTTATGAATTTATTTAATATTTATGCATCTCAATGCTTAGTGCATTATATCGAGAAAGTATGTCTGACAGATGAGATTAGCCCACTTACACGGGTAATCGCCTCTATTTACTGTGCGATAAATAGAGATGAGACAATTTTTTTTAAGCTTATTATCTGGGTGATAATTGAGAGCTCAAGCTTAAATTACAAATGTCGCCTTAACTGAATATTAAGATGAGGATATAATATTTACTATGTCCGAAGGTAAAATAACCCACATATTTTACTTTATCTGTCAATGATGCCAGATGTGAGTTCTGATGAATTCTTTAAAAAAGCAGATACGTGAACTCAAGTCTAGATATTAAGTATATCTAAACTATCATCTATACGGCATTAAGTATAAAGACATGCGCTCCTAGGGGAAGGAGAGAATGCCGTAATACGTATTTCATACTACGTATGCATAAGACGACCTATAAGAGTGGCAAAAGTTTTTGATCTAAACTTTATGCCATGTGAGACTCTTGAGGATAAGAGTTCCTCATTAAATGCCCTCACGACTCTAACTTATTCTCAAAATTTCTATTCAGTGTTCGCTATCTTAAGGTGTTGCCAATGGTCATGAATAATTCGATCTAATGGGGCATTTCTAGAAAAGCAAATTGAACTGAAATGGAGAGGATTAAGGAAAGGGGAAGATCAATTTATTTGTGATGTCATATTTTTTTGTATTCACAGGTCGACCAATTATGATTTTGAGTAAATCATAGTTGTGAATACAATATACGAGATACTAAAAGAGATCAAGAGAGATATAAATGTAACTGATTAATCTAGGGTATTACATACTATATCTACTCGATAACGTAATGCCCAATTTGAGCTGCTATGTGTTCCTAACAGATGCATAGCAACGAGCCCTCGAATTATGCTGGTCGTACGGATTATTTGTTGATATGAACATTGCATAAAAGAGAGAGTTAATGTTTAGCCCACCATGTGCGAGTGGGAGATGATGGGTTTTCTTTGTGAATGATTGGCCACTCATGATGGGCTAACCCAGCCCATGAAAGGAAATAACTGCACTTGGCAGTTATTGTCTAGACACAAAAAGTGAGAACACACGTAAGAGTGTGCGTGGGTTTTGCATTTTTTCATTATCAGAAACTTATTCTCACAAAAGAACAAAGAAGAAGGGATTTTGTTCAACGATCTAAGGATTGTTCTCTCTCTCGACGTTGCAAAATGAACATTTAATCCGTGGAAAACAAGGTACGTCCCTATTGGTGATGTACTTTAACGATCAGTGATTCAAGTTTATACTGGGTACGTTTTTCATATACGATTTTTGGGCGATACTCGTTAGTTCGAGTTTTATGTCGTTTAGGAATTTGTTTCCGTCTTTCCGCATTTCTAGGAATCTGTTTCCGTCAATACTATTAACGAAGCAAAGACGGATTTCTATTTTTAAAGAATCTCAACCCTTTTTTTTTATCCTTTCTCAAATGTCCTCAATTACTTATTTTTACAAATTTTATGTCCACAGACAAATACCCAAATACGTAATTTTGTTTGTTGTCCATATTAAACGTTTCAGTAATTGTCATTCCACAACGACCTTCTTAGAAATTCGAAGTTGTGAAATAATTTTCTCTTTCCATATATAATATATACAATTTATTTGCACTGTAAAATTCTTGTAGTAATTCCTCCCTGTTCTGTAATGATTCCGATATTTCTAGATAAAGTGTTTTTTACTTTATGAAAAAAAAAACATTAATTTTTGGAATGCACGCGATGCGCGAAGACATTGGCCAGTAATACAAATAAAAAGAAATAGGAGCAAGAGAAATTGACCATCGAAAAAATAAATAACTAAAATTAAAATTAAGCTTGTCCCTAGAATAAAGATAAAAATCATTTATTACAATCGCTAAGGCTGCGAATGGTAACCATTCTGTTTCTCTATTTCTGTTCCAGAAATAGGTTTGGAACAGAAATCTATTTGGTAACGAAATTCCAATTTCTATTTCTGGAACAAATTTTTGTTCCAGAAATAGGTTTGGAACAGAAATCAGAAGTTAAAATTTTTTGCTTCTCTATTTCTGGAACAGAAATGAGAAATTTTTTTTTTTGTTCTTCTCATCACTTTCCCTCACTACTAGCCGGTCGCTCACCCGCCGCCCATCGCCGGCCGCCGCCACCCGCCGACCACCGCTACCTGTCGCCAGCCGCCTACCCTCCTCCCCCTACCGGCGGCCGCCACCAACCACCGTCTCCCGCCGCCACCCGCCTCCCACCCCCGGCCTCCCTCCTCCCGCCACCGCCGCTCGCCTTTGGCCGCCGCCCACCTCCCACCGCCGGCCGCCGGCCTCCGTAGGCCGGCCACCATCTCCCGCCACCACCCGCCTCCTACCCCCGGCCTCTCTCCTCTCGCCACCGCGGCCCACCTCCCACCGCCATCGCCGCCCACCTCCCACCGCCAGCCGCCATCCACTGGCCACCATCTCCCACCACCAGCCGCCCTCCTCCCACCGCCGCCCGCCGTCCATTGGCCACGATCTCTCGCCGGCTGCCGTGGGCCACCGTCTCCCGCCGCCAGTCGCCCTCTTTTGGCTGCCACCCACCTCCCACCGCCGGCCACCTCTGGCCGCCGCCCGCCGTCCATTGGCCACCATCTCCCATCGTCGGCCACCGTCCTCCCACAGCCGCCCGCCTCCCACCACCGGCCACCATCTCCCGCCGCCACCCGCTCTCCTCCCGCCTCCATCCACCGCCCGCCGACCACCCGAGAAGAAGAAATTTTGTGCTGTTATCAAATAAATTTCTGTTTCTAGAACAGAAATTTTGTGTCGTTATCAAACGTGTTTTTTTGCTAAGAAACTCCTCCAGGAACAGAAATAAAAAAATCAATTTCTTGTCAGAAATTGATTTCTGAAACAGAATGATTACCATTCGTAGCCTAAAAAATCACGATCAACCCCAACCTTAATGAGTCTGTTGACACCAATAATTAATTAGATTGTCGACAATAAAAATAAATAGAAATAAATTCGTAAAGGCCGTCAAGGGATGATGTAGCCCATAAAAGATTGATCACATAAGCAGACAGCTAGCAAGCACTGGAATATCCCGGCGGGAAATTTAAGAATTTGAAATTGAAGAAACTGGAATCGTAGAAGAAGCAAGCGCCACTTGATTTTCCGTACCAAAATTCATCGATGAAAACTACCATAGGGAACCCAAGTCATCGAAGCTGTCAATGAAAAAAGAAAGAAGGACAGGTGTTAAGAAGGGAAGAGATCTATAACGGTTATCAACTCGGAAAGGACAAGTGTCGAAAAGGGAGGAGATCAATGACTGTTATCGCCTCGGGAAAGATAGATGTCTATATAGAAAGAGATCGATGACGGTTATCGCCTCGGGAAGGACAAGTGTCGAAACGGGAGGAGATTGATGACGGTTATCGCCTCGGGAAGGACACGTGTCGAAATGGAAAGAGATCGATGACAGTTATCGCACAAGAGATGACAAGTGTCAAGACGAAAAGATAAGATCGATGACAGTTAATGGACAGATGTCATCAGATGAACAACGAAGATGGGATGAATGGTGGTTATTGAATATGGTATCAGAAGGCAGTTATTAGACTCGCATTATAAATAATATCTGATAGCAAAAAAAAACCCCGCGAATACATATCAAAATGCTGTCTTTCAATTATCTTTACTTTCCAGTACTGCACTTTAGTTTCTATAACTGTAATTATCTACGTTTTAAGTCTAATAGCTTTGTAGTGTTGCATCGACGGAATTTGGACGTCGCCGGTCAGTAACTGGATAGATTTGTCTGAACTGTTTATAAAATTTAAAGTTTTATTAGCCAAATTTCGTCACGGTACGAAATTTGTGTTGCTGATCAAAACAAACGGACTCTTTGGCTGTGTTCGTTTACGGAAAAATATTTTTCCGTAAAACATTTTCCGCATTTTTCAGTGTTCGGGGGCGGAAAATGTTTTCCGCGGGAAAACATTTTCCTTCCCCACGCTCAAATCCTTCATTGTTTTGAGGAAAATGATTTCCTCTTTTCACAAAGAGGAAATCATTTTCCCCCAAAGTGAAGGCAAAATTGCCCATGGGAGGGAAAATGTTTTCCGTGGGAGAGGAAGTTGATCGCCGGTCACCGCCGTTGGCTGCTGGCCGCCCGCCCGCCACCGCCGCCGCCGGCCGCTCGCCCAGCAGCCGCTGACGCCCGCCCGCTCGGCTTCGCCGCCCGCCGCGCATCTGCCGCCGCCACGGGCGACCCGCCATCCATAGGCCGTCGGCGGCCGCTGCTTACCGCCGCGCCCGCCGGCCGTCGCCGTCGCCGCCGGCCGTCGCCGCCGCCGGACCGTCGCCGCCGCCGGTCGGCGATGAAAAATATTTTTCGAAACTTTTTCATATTGGTCGCGAACACCGAAAAATTATGTTGGAAAACATTTTCCAAGAAAATGACTTGGAAAATACTTTCCAAAATGAGAATATTTTTCGCCAAACGAACGGACTCTTTATTCACATCTAAATATCTCCTGTTCGGATTTACTCCAAGAACCCGATCTCTCGTTAAGAATCAAAGAACGACTTTCGATGAATTATATTTGGTCGCGGGATCATTCTCCGGGGGAAACAGAGTCAAATGATTAGGTGCACAGTCAGCTGTTTCTCTCATACATCTCTCTCTCATTGGCCCTCCTTCATCTCCTCCACCAGATAAGGCCCTCTTTACTGCTCCTCCCTCTCTCTCTCTCTCTCTCTAGAATCTCAAGGCATTTCTCTCTCTACCCTGCATCCGAAGGTAAAGCTCCGGGTATCCCGTTTCTCCTCGTCTCTCCTCGGCGTCGCTGCACGTTCGTTTTCGGCTGTTCGATCGATTCAGCGTAAGCGTCTTCGTCGCTGGATCGATCCGGATTCGCTCGCGTTCTGGCGAATTAGGAAAAAAATTCGGGAAGCCCTTTGTTTTTACCTCAAGATCGCTTCGCCGTGGCTCATTGTTATTCAGCTTCAGCTGTTTGTTTGCTGAAATTCAGCTCTTGCGTGTGAAATGCAGAGGCGCTGTCGTGACCCCGAGTGTCGTTCCGGTTCCCAATGGCGTCGACGATCGTCAAGCCTCAGTGGTCGTTTGGGGGTGTCGACTGCCGACGGTATGTGGGGCCGCAACCGCCGCCGAGTGCGAAGTCCAGTTCTTTGCGAGCCGCGAGCAGGGGACAGCCGTCCCGGCGGTTGTTGGTCGTGAGGGCTAGTGAAAATCGCAACGATTCTGTTAAGAAGCTGGGGATGACGGATGCGGAATGCGAAGCCGCTGTTGTGGCGGGGAATGTGCCCGAAGCGCCTCCGGTCCCGCCCGCGCCGGCGGCCCCGGCTGGAACTCCTGTCGTCCCTTTGCTGGTGGGTGTTCAATTGAACTGCTTTGTCGAGCTTTACGAGCGTAGCGGCATGGAGTGGCTGGACTATTTGTTGAATTCGTGTTCCTTACTTTGCCGATATATTTCTCATCATAACGATATTTTCAGGCTTTTTATGTGCTCGGCCTCCCTGATTGGTTTTTGTTTGCGTAGCCATTGAGTCGCCGCCCGCGTCGCAATCGGAGATCACCGGCGCTGAGATCAGCTTTCCAGGAGACAAGTTTGTCCCCGGCAAACTTTGTCTACCCACTTTTTATTCATGAAGGTTTGTGAGACATCTCTCAGGTGCAGTGCTTTGTAGATTCAATCCACGTGAACTGACTTAGCATTTTGGGCAACAATATTTGCAGGTGAGGAAGATACTCCAATTGGGGCTATGCCAGGATGCTATAGGCTTGGTTGGAGGCATGGGCTTGTAGAAGAGGTGAGTCAGTCAATGTGGGCTTGTCAACGTATGGAATTCAAAACATCCATGTCCTCTTAATGATTAGAAGGCCTTATACGCCTATTGCTATTGAGGAATCAATTGGAAGATGTGATGGTGCAGATGGAAAATGATGGTTGTCTGTCAAATGATTTTCTTTCTCGTGTGTTTAGAGTAAACTTGGAAGATGCATCAATTCAGATGGAGCTTTGAATCGTGCTCTGCCAAATGGGTCCCTTTCTTTTCTTTTTCTTAGAGTAGATGATTCTCTGACCCCTGAAAAACTGCTCCATTTTCCAAAATAGAATGGGACGAGCAAAAAGGAAAGAGTTTAATTTTTCTGGAAAATCCCTGCAAATTTAGATAGAATTCTACATGCTAGTACCTTTCTGCAGTCTCTACATATATCTATAGAACCTAATCGGAATTGTTCCGAATCCTTCAAAACTTTTGATACAGGTGGCTAAGGCTCGTGATGTTGGTGTTAATAGCATTGTACTCTTCCCCAAAGTGCCTGATGCTCTGAAGGTTTTAGTTGTTCCTCCTGTTTTTTGTCCTGGTTCATTGAAATCGATTAATCTGATTTCCTTTGTCTTAAACTTCCGGTATTAGTCTCCCACTGGAGATGAAGCTTACAATGACAACGGTTTGGTGCCAAGAACAATACGATTGCTCAAGGATAAGTACCCTGATCTTGTAAGTCAAAATATTAAGGGCATAGTTCTGAGCATAGGGTCCTTCCTGTTTATTGGTTTTCTATCTTTAAAATTGCCTTCTGATTCTATTGCCATGTAGGTCATATACACTGATGTTGCTTTAGACCCATATTCCTCAGATGGACATGATGGTATTGTCAGAGAAGATGGTAAGAGCCTCAATTATCTCCATTTTAAGGTTTTACAAAATATGTATGTGCAAAAAAAGTTTGTAGGAAAAAGTAAACCTGAGGACTAAAAAGCATGTGAGTTTAATTTATATCTACTGTTTGGAAGTTTGTCCATGAGTTTTTGGCCAACAGAAGATTATCAGTTGACAAATGTAAGACATGCTTTCATACTTTGCTCTTAGTTGATTAAGTAGAAGACATGCCTATGAGAAAAATTTTAATTCAAGAAGTATCTTCACTTCTTACTGAGAATATTTTCATTCTTCAGCATGTCTTTCACGTCCTTTGTGCTAAATTTCCTTATTTTCTTTCCATGATACATTTTTCTTGGCGTAGATTTTGAGGAGTCTTATTTCCAAGCCTATTTCTTGGAAATTGAATTTGGAATCCTCTACTAAAACATTTTTGATGTTATGCAGGAGTCATAATGAATGACGAGACAGTACATCAGCTATGTAAACAAGCTGTCTCCCAGGTAATGTGCTCCCATCAAAGAGTACTATTTATCTCTGGAATCATTTACAGTCTTACCTTCTCAAATGGGACTTCTATGTTTACAGTTCTTGAGTCCTTGTGTCATTCTTTGCCAACTGTAGTGAATTTGCTGTGTTAAATAATGGGAGCATATTGGATATGTCACTTGTCATGCCTTGTTCTCATCTTAATTGATTTTGGAGTAAGTTGGTAGCCTGTTAATTCCGAAGTTGGCGGGATATCTGTTTCAACATTTAGTACTGTCTTTCGCTTATAAATCAAGAAGCCTGAGGTCCTTCAATTGTGGAAATTATTGTCCTAATGGAATTCCTTTTTTCTTTCTAGGATAAGGCCGACGTGGAGTTTGCCCTTTGTTTGGCTTTACATGCTGCATGACCTGTTTTTCAATCTTTTGCTAAATCTGTCTTATTTGCTCCTTTGGTCCCAAGTAGGCCCGAGCTGGGGCAGATGTTGTTAGTCCTAGTGACATGATGGATGGTCGTGTCGGAGCAATTCGAGCAGCCCTTGATGCTGAAGGCTTTCACCATGTTTCTATCATGTCCTACACTGCCAAGTAATATGTCCTTTCTGCTTAAGATGAATATATTTCTGTCATCTTTTGCTCTATTGTTTCATCTGATAGTCCTTGCATTATCAGAGAAATAACGGTGGAAAAGTAGATGCAAACACTCATATTGAGCCATATAGTATACATTACAGATCTTCTATGGCTATAATATAACGTAGATTAAGAGCAGGTGTATTTCATATAATCTTCTTCTGTCTGAAAGATGAACATTATCATTGGAGCTTTCTATCTTCGTGTCTTTAGATCCAGAAGGATCTCAAAACTAGAGAACAGAATCTGCATTAGATGCGTGCATGCACTTTGGTGATGTTTGTCGCTTAATTCAGGGGTAAAAGAAATTGGATGCAGGTCGCGCCATAGCAGTTGCATGTCTAGTAGTTCATAGATATTACTAGGTAGTACAGTTATCCTCACAAATTCTTGCTGGGTCCTCCATTCGTTTGTGGATTTCTTTTCTTTGCACTGGTATAAATCCTAAGCGTGCTTGCATCTAATGTCTTGTCTATCTATTGTCGTGGCTTAGCATATTTTTTTGTTTATATGTGGGAATGGGTTGGAGAAAAGGCAAACCTTTAATAAATAAACTAATGTTCTTGAGATCAGAGATACAAATTGTCGTCACTAACATCTCTATCCTTTAATAGGTATGCGAGTTCGTTTTATGGGCCGTTTCGAGAGGCTCTAGACTCAAATCCACGTTTTGGAGACAAAAAGACGTATGTTATGGTTGGATTTTGTTGTTTTTGTTTTCAAAATTATGTTCCTAATTTTGTTTCTAATCTTTTTTTTCCTTTTGGTACAAAAGTTACCAGATGAATCCAACAAATTACAGAGAAGCTCTAATTGAGACCCGTGAAGATGAATCTGAAGGAGCTGACATTCTTCTGGTTAAGATTTAGTTGCAACTTTTACCTTATTTGAATGGTTAAATTTTCTCTTTATAGCCTTGAAAGGGTACTCTTACCGTGTAAACAGGTGAAACCCGGTCTTCCTTATTTGGATATAATAAGGCTTCTTCGGGATAATTCTCCTCTACCAATTGCTGCTTATCAGGTACCTTGATATATACGTCATTGTGCGATAACTTCCTCTATTGACATTCTTATTCTTCCTTGAGCAACAAATGGTCTCATCCTCTGCGTTTTTGGTCTTTAAAAACAGGTCATTCTTTTTTTCTATTTTGGCTCCTACTATTGTGGTTTATGAAGTTTTAAAAACTGGTCGAAGGTTGTGGCTCCTACTATTGTGGTTTATGAAGTTTTAAACTGGTCTAAGTTCCTTTGACCATTGACCTGGTTGATTAAGATGTCTGATATTGCAAACTTGCATTGATGCCGTAAGCAATATAAATCGAGTCTTGCTTCTATATACTCTTATTAAAAGTCATCGTCACTATCCCTTTAGTGAAGACTAAGAGTTACTTCGAAAAAATGTGTCTACAATTATGTTCAATTGATTAAAGCTACTTATTTGGGTAGCATTGGCCAAGTGTCTTTGTTGTTTTCCCCCCTTCCTTTCTTGGCTACATTCAAACTAAGTTCTTGGACTAGGTCTTGGCAAAAAAATGTTAAATTTATGATGAGAAGGTTTGAACACTGTCTACTCAAAACTTCAAAGCTGAATCTCTTGAGTAGCTTTATAGAGAAGAAAAACTTGTAGTGAGTGTGATCTTATCGAGTTGCTGTTCCAGCGATTTTGGCAAGTGCAATGAGGTTTTTTTGTTTGTTAGTATCTGAAGATGGGAAACAGCTTCTAGTCCTTTGGAATGTATGAGGATTTGGCCTTTATCAGGTCAAAGTAAAATACTACAGTAATGTTAGTAGGTTTGACTTGACCACGTTTAATGGTGCAGAGGTTTGATTTCTTACAGATTGGCTCTTGACAATACATGATACATCCAAATCTACCTTCTTCTCATACTGACTTTACTAAAACTTCTCTTCGGATTATTAGGTATCGGGTGAGTACTCAATGATTAAGGCTGGAGGGGTTCTGAAGATGATTGACGAAGAGAAGGTTATGATGGAGTCTCTCATGTGTCTGAGACGGGCAGGCGCGGACATCATCCTCACGTACTTTGCACTGCAAGCGGCTAGATGCCTATGTGGTGAGAAGAGGTGAGATTCAGATGCAGTTGGTGGCGGGCATTGCTGCGAACAACCCCACTAGATCTTTTGAGGAAATGAGCCTTAATGCCTTAACATAACTTTTGTAGATTATTTTGTAAAGTTGGTGATGCTAGGGATTAGGTTGATTTTTTAAGAGTAATTTGAGTGGAAATGGTTTTGGGGTGTGTTCTGCGGAGTGTGGTGTCTTCATGCTTAAGTTAGAGTGATGTGCTTTGAGAATGGACACGAATAATAAGCTGGAAATTCAATCGGGGCACCATCCCCGATTGTTTTGTTCTGTTAATTTCTTACCCTGTAATTTATCATTCGGTATCTGTGTGCTTGATAGGATCTTGAGAATGTATGACGTTCTGGTAATTTATGCAAAATGTATTTCTTACTAGATGGATTGATCTTCCTACTTTAGCTCTTTTGGGAACCTTTATGAGGGAATCAGTAACAAGGCAGAATTCCCACCCGAGATGGCATATAGATGGTTTTTCATTTTTCGCATGCACCTTGTTCATAAGCATATCATTCACTTCGACAACTTGAGACTTAGTTCCCACAAGATTAGTGGTTCGTTTTTTTACACTATCAAGAATATAAGGTTTAGGCTAGTTAACGACCGAGTTTTCTGGGATTAAGCTCCTTTCAAGTACTTGATTCAAATATGGTTTTCAAAATTATAGCATGTCATTGGGGAAAAACCTTAATTTTTTGATATGTTATAACTTTGACGGGTCGGTTCGGGTATTTTCGGGTCGATACCCGTGACTGGAACTCACCCGTTTAGATAACATGTTTCGTGCTGTCCGGTTCGGGTTGGTTTCGGGTGATACAGATGTTTTTGATGCCCAGAGGTCGAACCATGGAGCAAACACAGCAAGAACTCTACTGGTTTTAACAGTGAACCATGGAGTAAACACAGCAAGAACTCTACTGGTTTTAACAGTGGACTAATGGAAGCATCCAAAGATAATAAACAACATCTAGAAAACTAAATTTGGAATGATAAAGTGATTTATAAAGTGATGTGATTATTCGTTAGTGGTTATTTAAGTGATTAATCGCATTCTTTTATAACTTTATTTAGCATACAATTCTTAATATATCCCAGACAGAGTGAGTTCGATGAGACAACATCTGAGACATGGTCGATTAGGTCTGGCCAATCCTGTTTGTCTTTTGTTTTTTTTTATAAATAAAGAAACTGGTCTGCGAGGAACAGTCACTATGAACTGACTACTGGTGAGGAACTGGGGGTTCACTGAAGTTTTCCCTCCCACACACCAAACAAAGTGTCGGAAAGTGACATTCTTGACTAGGATGTCTCCAGGAACACGACAATGAGCAAATCATCCCACAATTTCCACAATCCTAAACCTGTTTTCATCAACAAATCACCCCATAATTACACGCTTCTAAAACTAAAACTGACCACTTCAATCTTTGCAAGAGAAACCCTCTTCTTCTACCCTTTACAAATCTCAGGGAATCGATTTTCCCAATTCCCCAATGCCCAATGAAACAAGCGATGCCCGCGAGATTGAGTCGATCTCAATCAAATAACCCTAGAAATACAAAGACCGATTTGCAAACTCAATTTAGAAGTGACATGATAAATACAAAATGCATCTTCGAAAATTCATTGTGTCACTTCATAAATTAGTGTTATAAATTGATTTTTATACCGCTAACATTATTTAATTAACATTTTCACAGCGGAAAATTAATATCCATAGAATCGATCGATCGATCTTTTTATCACCCCTTTTTTGTTCAACCATGCTCGATCAAGTACCTCTCGGCGATGGCCGCATGGGCGGCAGCGCCCACCGGGAGGACCTCCTCATCGATCATGAAGTAGGGTGAGTGGCCGATGTGGGTCGAGCCGAGCTCCTCGTTCCGTATGCCGATGTAGAAGAAGGCGGCCGGGACCACCTGCGAGTAGAAGGAGAAGTCCTCGGCCCCCATCATGGGCTGGACCACCCGGAAGTTGCCCCGGCCCACGAGATCAGTGCCCACCTTCCTCACGTGCTCGTACATGCGGTCGTCGTTCACCGTTGGCAGGTATATCATGTCCTCCTTCTCGAAGAAGTCCACGCTCGCGTCGCATCTGAACACACCAGATTGTTCCACAATCACCTGTTCTCATGTTACCACAGTCGAAAAGGAATCCATAAGCTTTGGAGAGACAAGAGCCGAGACAACTGTACATATGGGGGGGACCAAGAACAATTATGAGATCAACGTTTTCGGTTTCGCAGTATGGCCACGTGTGTGCAGTAGTGATTTGCTGATTGCTTTGCCCCACTGAACTTTTTTTTTGGGTTGTTCTTTAAGGAAAATAGGACAATAATGCTGATATGGACCGCCAACTTCTGAGGGCTCGTGTCATTGATAGAGAAATGAAGGAGTCGTGCGACACTTTCAATTAGCATCATAAAAGGAAATTCGACACGCCCGACACGTTCCCAACTTGATGATCTTATGTTTTATAAGCTTAGGTCTAATGTGGTCCAAGAAATGCACACATATAGTCGTAATGCATGATGTTAGGATCTTATAAATTTTCTATCTCTGTTTTTTTTCTTTTTGGTGGCCGAATATATACCTCTTCTATTCGTCGCATGACTTGGTGGAAGCTCGTATTGGAGAAAGCTCTGAAAGTACCGCCCAGAACAACGCTCTCCGGTACCCTGTTGAGGTCACCGCCTCCGTTGAAAGAGGTCACCGACACTACCTGCATTAAAAGACATTACTTTTTGAGAAAAAAGAACACGACAAAATGAAATCCAATTGCGAAGCAATGATATCATGTTACATAAATTATTTGTATGACGTTCTGTGTGCGAACCTGTGAGTCCAAAGGGTTTGCTTCGCGAGATACGATTCCTTGCAAGCTAATCACCACGGCCGAGGCAGCCAAGACCGGGTCGACCGAACGGTGAGGGTTCCCGGCGCCGGCCGCCTTTCGGGTGATGGTAGCCTTGAAGAAGCCGCAGCCAGCGAGTAAAGGGCCGGGCCTCGACCCGATAACGCCAGTGGGGTGCTCGTGGGACACATGGAGGGCAAAGATGGCTTCCACATTCTCTAAGGCACCATCTCTTATCATCCTTTTTGCTCCATTCCCAGCTTCCTCTGCTGGCTGAAATAGCAACACTACTGTTCCCTGTTGAAAGAAACCAAACAAAATGAAGGCAAACCAAACTAAATTAGGAAAATTTCGACGATTATATCTTTTATGTGATTAGAAATTACGTCCCTTAACGTAAAATACAACTACGGTCCTAGTATAAAAAGAAAAATCGGTGTCTCTGTCGAGAAACGCATAGATATGAAACATAAAAACTTTCAAGGTGCTTTCATAACATAGGATCCTATCTATTTGACAATGTATGATGATGACATTTCTCATGTACTGAGTCATTTAGATGGGCGAAAATATCGCCCTTTTTTATGCTTTTTTAAGTGAAAAAGAAAAGTGGTGTTAGATGTCAACCTCATACATGCATTTTTAGAATTGGCATGATTAAAATTTTGTCAATCAACTTTTCGATGGACCCACCTCAAATACCAAAGCAGATTGTGTGAAAACTGGCCTTTTCTGCGTCATATGATTATAGTTGGAATGTTGACCGGGATTTGGAGTAAAACATATGTTTACCAAGTAACCAATCGCTGTCGCTATCTGGTTAAGCTACTTTCTGAGGAAAATTTATACAGTCATTCAATGTCCTTGTCGTACCAGGCATCCATCAGGCTTTCCCCTTTTCTTTCCTTTTTTCTTTTGGTTTAATTAAGGTCAAACCCTGCTAAACTAAACTGTCTTACTCAGCAACAGCGAGACGACCGCATCGGTAAAAACAAGCAGTTCAGACCGGAACAGGTCATCTAAATTCAAAATGTGCGCCCTAAAAGCATATCCCTTCTAGATCCACGTGGCTTGTCGCGACTCGCTAAGTAAGAAAGAAAGAGCAGAGCACAGAGGTCGCATTAGGGTTTTTCCAATGACCGCCTCGAGCAGAAAGCAAGAAATCTCGCTACGGGCCTAATTCCGTAGACGCAAACAGCACAAGAAAATAGACGCCAACAGCACAGAATAGACCACGGGCCTAATTCCGTCATTAAAAAGACATTTACGTGCACTTTGTACTTATTCAGTTGTTTTCCCTTTCGTCCGATGTGGTCAACGCTTTCGTTTTTTCTTGTCCATTTTCGCGGAACGGCGCACACTTGGCCGGTGAGGCATGTGATGCCTGATGGAGTATCGTATTGATTTCTCGAAACAGAACGACCCACCTCGAAATCAATGAGGCACATGTCAGAGACGATGTTGTGGGATTGGGATGTCATGCATGACCATATCAAACGCGAAAATCTCACGAAAGTGCTAAGAAAGAAGAGTAAATGCTGGCTCTCTCTACTTGGAAATGACGACAGGGATAGGATGCAAATAAGATATGTCATCGATTTGTTTTACTTATTATTTTTATTGATTCATTTATTTGATATTTTAGATTGCTCAATATGAAAGATTGTGTAGCCTTCTATTGTCACATCAAGACAGGTCCTAAGTAATATTTAGAATCTTTGGCTGAAGAAGATATGGTCTCGAATGGGTGAAAAGGAGGTAGATTTTGGTCCTCTCGGTGTTTAGGTAAGAATTGAGGACATATATGTGTAAGATAAGATTTAGAGCTGTGCTAATTTGGCATGAAAAAACTCAGATTCGATGAAACACATAAGGACTATCATCGTGAAATATAGATATTGGAATGTTTTTTTTTTTTAAATATTGGATTGTTTAAGGGCCATGTTTTGGAGGATACTTCCTCCGGACATACTTCTAATTGGTGGGCCATAAGTTACGAACATCACCCACATGCAAACCTGATCAAAATTAAACGTGGGTGGTGTTCAGGCGCTTGTAACTCATCAATCAGAAGCATGTGGAGAGAGTTTTCTCCACTTGGGGTTGGAAGAAAAACCATACCCTTGTTTGAATAAGACTTGGTAAACTAAGTTGCTGATGTTACAAACAGGATTGTTTAGGAAAGACTTGTAAACAGAATATGTGATGATACACAAGGTTTTTTTTAATTTAGTTCAAGCCTTTTCTTCTTCCCAGCACATGGTGCTGCACATTAGATATACTAGCGTATTTAGACTGCCCGATGAGTGCTTACCACTTAATCTAGGAAACAAATTCTACTAAAAGTTCTTAATACCTCTAAATGGTATTTCTCTTCAAAACATCTCCGACGGTTGAAACAAGCCGAGTCAATGAAGTCAGGCAAAGCATAAGTCCAAAAAAGGGCATCTCCTAACTTTGATCGAATTAGAATCAAATCCAATGTGCCTTTTAATAAAGAGAATCGATACCACCCTTTATACGCAAAAACAATTTCATAGCTTGCTTAGGAATATATGGCCTCAAACATAGTCATTCAGCCTCAAAATAGCATGAAAATGCGTAAGACATTGCTCAAGAATAACTACAGAGTGTAGCTAATATTCCTTCAGTGTAAAAACAAATTTATACAAGCGGCCTAGCTTGCACATCATTGATTTGAGCGAATGAGTAGATATAATCATCAAATTAAGGGTAGATAAGATTGTTTGTGCAAAACTTTCTTTGTACTGACCATGTATGGCCTGCTTTTTTGTATTAATAAAACTGCAACTTCCCATTATTCCAGAGATTTAGAAAAGGGAAAAAAAAGGGGTGCAAGTACCTTCAAAAAATGTTCGCGACTCTTGAGGATTTTGGCAGCACCCAGAAGCATTGCAACATGAGCGTCATGCCCACATGCGTGCATTATACCAGCAACTTTGCTTTTATGCTCCCATTCCACAGCTTCCTGTCCACACATTTCATGCACACTATCATGAACTTTTCATTTTCAGGTCAAACGAAGATGGCAAAAGAAGATTTGGGGGAACTAGATTGAATAATGTTGGCCAAAAACAAAAGAATTAAGATTCATTAAAGATTCAACTTATATGTCTCCTCAGAAATTTTGGAGCTTTTTGAGAACTCCAAGCACCATTATCTTGGGAAACTATCTTGGATCCGCAATGTAATCTCGATTCATCTTGCATATATGCGTATATAATTTTTATATTTATTTATATGACCGATTTATTAATGTACAATAGAGTACGAGGTATATCTCTAGTAAAGACTGACACTTAGCACGAGATCCCGGAGTACTGAATCTGACACGCCTGTAATTATCGAATGCCTGTACGAAATCATGTATAACTACCAGATTGTCACTATAAATAACTATCACTTCGTCGCTGTCATAAAAAAGAAAAAAAATAACATAGGAGCAAATACTCTCATGGATCGCGGATTATTCCATTTCATACTCGAGAAATTCTTCGCAAAGAATCAAAAAAAGAGTGTCATTTCGTTCATGCTTAAACCTTGAAAAGAAGGAAAAATGAAAAAGAAAAGAAAGAGAAGAGATCAAGAAGGATGATGTCGGGTATAGAAACTATGACTGAAACGAACTCTCCTTCATATAGGAAATGAAGGCAGTCCACACATTCGTTATTTTCCCAATTTATAAAGGGAAAAAAGAGAGAGAGAACCAAGCTTTGACAGAGAGAGAGGAGGCTTCGTTGTGTGCATGCACTCGGATCCGCCCGTAACCGTTGGATTTGATGGGGGGCTCTCACGAGATTCAATGACTATGCGTGTCAGATTCACCGGTTCGAGACGAGCACGGAATGCACGCAGTCGATCCGTGCGAGAAAATTTAGCGAGAGAGAGAGGAGGGGAGCGGACCTGAATGGGGAGAGCGTCCATGTCAGCGCGGATGGCGACGAAGGGCGGGCCGCCGGTGCCGACCCAAGCCCTAACGCCGGTCTTGGCCAAGGGATGCCTGTACTCGATCCCCATCCTCTCCAGCTCTTCCCTCACCAGCCTGCTCGTCTCGTGCTCCTCGAACGCCAGCTCCGGCCACTCGTGTATCCTCCTCCGCACGCTCCTCAGCCACCCCGCCGTCCCCTGCTCCCTCGCCGCCCTCATCACCGACTCCGAGCACGCCTCGCCCCACTCCACGCCGCACTTCCGGCTCGCCCGCGCCGTCGTTGCAGGCTCGGCCGGGTGGCCGAGCAAGCACGTCGTCCAGTTCGGATGCGACGCGGCCGCCGTGGAGGAGGTCGCGCAGGCGGCGGAGGGGGCGGCGGCGCTTCCGGGTTTCTCGAAGAAGGGATAGTCGACCGCTTGCTTCGACGGTGCGGCGGCGCGGAGGTGGGGAGTGAGGAGGATCGTGATGGCGAGGAAGAGGATGGCGAAGGTCTTTGATGCGGAAGAGTCCATTTTTTTTTTTCGGGAGCTCGATAGAGAGGGGGAGAGAGACCAGACAGGCGAGGGTTTTATTTGCTTGCGCTGATATACGGCGGGGAGACAGGGAGTAATTTCAGCACGTGGAATAAAGGGGAGAGTTGAAATGAGCACGTGGGGGAATCAGAAAATAACAAATCTGGCAAAAAAACACGAGAAAGGCTTAGAATAAGATACGTAGAAAACGGGACCACCAGTTTTTAGGTCGGGATTTTAATATGGGCTAAGAGGTTAACGACCCTTCTTTGCATTTGACTCGATCGACTATTTGAATGATTCATTTGGAAACCTACCATGTGCCTTAATCATGGGGACCTAACAAAAATCAGTCCGTTCTCAACTACGATAAACGGTGCTTTTGGCTTTGGGAAAATAAAAATAATGATCTCGCGGACCACTGTCTTGCAAATTTTCTCTCTTATTAAAATGTATTCTAGGGTTTACACAAACTTCAGGTTAAAAAAATTGCCATATATTTTATCTCTTAAGCTGTGACGAGATTTCTCCTATTTAAAAGGAACGGATTGGTAATTCATCATGAACATGGTTTAAACTTTATAACACAGCATGTTGTGAGATTTTATTTATTGATCTCAGCTAACCTTTGTATTTTCTGTCGTAAGATGTAATCGCTTCAGTTTACTTTCGGCTGGACCACCTCCCAAATGGAGTTCTTTAAGGCTTGTTAACCAATGCGTAACCCTCGAGTTTGTTTTTTTTTTGGTCGAAGTGTAACCCTCGAGTTGGAAAAGTCAATGTTTCGTCCTGCAACTTTCTCCTCATTATATTCCTTAACCAAAGGGCGCGTGCCTCGTAAAAAAGTGAAAAGAACCGATGTTGAAATAAGAGCATTCGTAACGCCAATACGTACAAGTTCATCTAGTATGTTTTTTTTGGAAATTTGAATTTTCTAGTTAATAAGTGAAGATTTCAACCTCTAGAATATAGTTCGTGCCGTGTAACATGGCCATGACTACGTCAGTGATTTCCGATTAAAATTGAAAGAAATGATTACATTGATAAATCATGAAAAGGTTTAACACTAAATTGGTTAAATAGAAAAGTTTAATATCGAATCGGCATCCGCACAATAATTTTAGAACTTTTTTGGTAATTTTTCATATGCGAGGCATAAATGCTTTTTAATGTTTCGAGAATACTTATAGTGTTCTCATCTGCCCAAATCAGTGAGTACATGCCAAGTTCATCACCTGTGTTCTTTTTTACCTACAGGAGACGTTTGCTCATTCATCATTCGGATATGCATCCCTTTTGGGGTTTTCACCTTATTCCAAGTTGGTTCTCCCACTAACTTAAAAGGAAAAATTAAACAAAACAAGAGGCCCACTTGGGGGTCCAAAAGAGTAAATAAATAAAGTAAAAAATGGACAGTTCAACAACTATAGGCCATCAATAGTGGAGCCCGAATGGCGTCAAGTCGAACGTCAAACATCCAAATCTATATATGCACACGATGCCTACTTGCAAATGCTCCCAATGATTGCGCTGAACGATGGAACCATCCCAATTGTGAGCTCAACTCAACACATTCTGACCATGTTTTAGCCCTCTGATATCCACTAATCTTTGTATTCGGAATGCATTTTTTTCTCTGTGGCTTGTGAAAAAGACAATTATGACTGTTTCGTTATTGACTCGTTGACGCTGTGCGGGTACTATTCTAAACCAGAGGCTTCCCTTTGATCATTGGCGTTAGGTTAAGAGTTAATGGAGCTTTTATTTTTACAAGGGCATCCGCGGCCTGACCTCAATTTGTGGGGCGGGCTTTATGGATTCGTTTTTTGTATTAACATGTCGATGCCCGCACGCCCCTACTTCTCTCTATATTTTTATTTTTCCCGGAGAGAGGAAATATCCTTTAAATATTTTACATCCCAATGATTCCGAGATGCGGACGAGAATTGAGACGAAGCCTTAGACATGCTTAGGTGCATTGTTCCATCGTGCGCAAAAGAAATGGGAGTAAAAGAAGTTCTTAGGAAGATGAGGAAGGGAAAAGACATAAATTCCGTGCTAACTTTACCAGGACCGCACCCACAGAGACCGGACCATATTAAATGTCTAAGGCATCTGCGGCCAAAATGACTTCAACTGACGCAGCAAACAAAACTACACCTTTGGATTGAACCTTCTGACGTGCTCTTTACGCCTTCTTTTCAACTTAGAAGAGGTAATTTTGTGGCCGGGATTATTGCTCAAAATCCATCTACATTTCGGTGCCTTCATAAAATCATCTCCGAGTTTTGAAAGCTACCGATGACCCTCGTACGCTTTGGTGCAGTTGTAAAATAGCCTTCGAACTTCTATTAGTAAAACTTTAATTCTTTTTTTTTTGGACGCTAGTTTTTCTATCTACATATTTGTCAAATGCCATTTGAACATGGACTTATTCGCCTATTTTAAATGATCTCTATTAGTTTTTAGCAAAAAAAAAAAATGATCTCTATTAGGTGGTTGGTTCAGTTAAAAAAGAAAAAAGAGGGTACATAGTTGTTGATGAGGAAAAGAAAATTTAATAGAGATTATTTTGGTCAAGAATATTGAGTTAGTCAATTTTGAGGTAATACTTAATGGCTACGTCTAAGGATAAACTAGTGACCGTAGTAAAAACCAAAGTTTAGGTGGTGACATGTGAACTTTTCAAAATTAGGAGACTATTTTACAATTGTGCTAAGTTTAGAAAAGTAATTTATAACTTATCAAAAGTCAAGTTGCCAAAACTCGAGGATTTTGAGCAATGTTATGAAAGTTTGCCCGTGATACATTTCCAGGTATAGCCCTACAATAAACAACAAAAAATCCGATTGCTTCCGACTAATCATCGTTATCAAATCATATCTCTTTTCTTGTCTTGCAATTTCGTTTACACCATATCGTATTCGGAATAAGACAAACCAAGATTCGATTCATCGACTCCCGAACTTCGTTTGATTTGGTTTAGTCTCTTAATTTGTTCTGTTTCATGACCCCGCAATCGAACCAAACCGGGCTTTTCCTTTTCTTTTCGTGTCCCTCAAATCACTAAATCAAGTGAGAATCGCACAAACTCCTCATCCACCCCCAATTTAGACCATAGTTTTCATGCATTTCGGGGAGCAAAGTAGATTCGTATCCCTGACATTTTTAAAAAGAGAGAGAGACAGAACAACAACGCAAAATCATGATGACTGATGAGTCGCGCTCAGACTGCGGATCCAAAGCTGATGCCGAGCTTTGCTGAGTCAGTTGGAACAAGATAGTCACGTGCTTATCAAAGGACGTATTTAGCTCGACACCGAACTCTTCCCACGTCTCTCTCACGCACGCAAATGTGTGGAGGGAAACAACGTCAAACCCTAGGCCCCAACTCAGTGCGATTACGCAGCTTTGATCCCCATCAACCTTCGAAAGGTTCCGACTCTTGAAAAGAACAGAGCACGTGAACTCACCAATACAACGTGCGACTCGTTAGTTTCTCCGTTCACGTAATTTGTAGGATCCGTCTCCATGATTGAACCTGTTTTATAGCACGTGAAACTCGTTGTCGTTGCGACCTAGCAGATTGCGGCTCGGTCGACATCGGCCGCATGATTTCTGATCGCTCTTCTTTCTGGTTTTGGCTTCGTCTACTTGCATCCCGCGTGAATGTGATCCCTTGAAAGTTACGGCTTTGGGAAGACATTACTTTTGACGTTTGCCGCATTAATGAGCAAAATTATATCTTCCTAAACGTTTCGGTATATATCTCTATGAAAAATAAAAGGAAAACACTTATGTAACGGTTGCCAATATTATTGCAAGTAACGGTGGCATGTGCGCCACAAGTCGTAATTGAGAGAAAAATGGCAACTACTCAGTCAATTCTTCATGACAAAATGTTTTTAATTTTCTGTGGTTTTTTTTATACAAAATTGTGACCGAAGTCTCAGTTTTTGTGGGAAAATTACCAAAAAAGTCATAAACCTTTTGCAGTTGTGCCAATTCAGTCATAAACCTTTTTTTTTTTTGCCAATTCAATCCTAAACCTTTTGCAAACCAGCCAATTCAGTCCTTTTGACCGGCCGGCATTGACGTGGCCGCCGGCTGACGTGGAACCGGCCGGCGTCCACTTGGTAATATTTTAATATTTTTTTTATTTTCGAATTTTTTTCCCTTTTTTCTTTTTTTTTTCTTTTCCTTCTTCCCCCTGGCCTGTCCGGCACAGGCCAGGGGGGAGGCTCGCCAGCAAGGGCCCAGCTCCGGCGAGGAGAGCTGGACCCTTGCCGCCGCTGGGCGAGCTCGCCCAGCTCCGCCTCGCCAGATTTGGGGGAGGGCGGAGCTCGCCCAGCCAAGGCGAGCTCCGCGTCGCCGGAGCTGAGCGAGCTCGCCATGGCTGGGCGAGCTCCGCCCTCGCCTTGGCTGGGCGAGCTCGCCCAAATCTGGCGAGGCGGAGCTCGCCCTGCCATGGCGAGCTCGCCCAGCTCCGGCGACGCGGAGCTCGCCTTGGCTGGGCGAGCTCCGCCCTCGCCCAGATCTGGCGAGGCGGAGCTCGCCTAGCCATGGCGAGCTGGGCCCTCGCCATGGCAGGGCGAGCTCCGCCTCGCCAGATCTGGGCGAGGGCGGAGCTCGCCCAGCTCCGGCAAGCCCCCCAGGCCGGACAGGCTAGGGGGGAGAAGGAAAAGAAAAAAAATTGAAAATAATAATAAAATATTAAAATATTGCTAAGTAGACGCCGGCCGGCGCCACGTCAGTCGGCCGGCGGCCACGTCAGCTCCGGCCGGTCAAAAGGACTGAATTGGCTGGTTTGCAAAAGGTTTAGAACTGAATTGGCACAACTGCAAAAGGTTTAGGACTTTTTTGGTAATTTTCCCCAGTTTTTGTTGGACAATATGTGATAGTTTCACAAACATATTTTATGCACCGGAAGTACTCGCTTAACAATGATATATAGAGAAGCAAGTCAATCATAAATTGAGAATTTACAAATTTTAGATGCAAAATTTCTTGTGATGTATATCATGCATATAACA